ACCTTTTTTACACTCTCATACATATTTTCTCAGATTTTCTCTCGTACTTTCTCGTCGTTTTCTTGCTTCCCATAAAATGACAGTGATGACAAGCAGCAGCACGCACAAACACTGACGCCATTTTTATTTTCTTTTGTCTGCTTAACTTTTCCCCGTTTTTGCTTTTCGTACGGAAACCCTAACTTTTCTTCAATTTTCTCTCACCGTTTTTCCCGTCGGAAAACATGGACGAAGACGAGATCGGAGGTAACCAGAGGCGAAAAGCGAATCAGATCTACAAGAAAGACGATCGGACAACGATTCCTCGAAACGACGTCGTACAAGCTGCCGCTGATGATGATGACGAACAGCTTCCTCTTTCCTTAAGCTTAGGTCCAACATCGTATCCTTCTCAGATCTCTCCGCCGCTTCGTCTAGCACCACCACCGTCACTGCTTGATTTCTCTCAGCCTATGATGACTCGTCCGTCGCCTGATTTTATCTCATATCAAAAATATCTCATGTCATCTCAGCCGTATCTGCCATCATCGATGAGTAACTTTTCGTCTTCACAACAGATCCAGCCACCGTTTCGTCCACCGGGTAATTACTTCCCTCAATCAGCTTTCGCTCCTCTTCCTCCTCCGTCGTCGAATCAAAAACGAGAGCCACGTCGGAGTTCGACCAGATCATCACAGTTCGGAAACCGGATCAAAAACGAGAAGATTCCGGCACCGTTTCCATGGGCTACGAATATTCGAGGGAGGATACGAAGCTTGGAAGATCTGGAATCGAATCAGATCACTATAATCACTGGAGATGTACAATGCAAACACTGTGAGAAAGTTTATCAAGTGAGTTACAATCTGAGAGAGAAATACTCAGAAGTTGAGGATATTTTCGTGAATCGTAAAAGGATAATGAGGGAAAGAGCTCCGGCGAAATGGACAAATCCAGTACCGGCGAGGTGTGAGCTTTGTGGCCGTGAAAAAGCAGTGAAACCGGTGATTGCTGAACGGAAAAGTAAGATTAATTGGTTGTTTTTGTTTTTGGGACAAACATTGGGTTATTGTACATTGGAACAGTTGAAGAATTTCTGCAAACATTGCAAGAGTCATCGTACTGGTGCTAAAGATCGTGTGCTTTACTTGACGTATTTGGGTCTTTGCAAGATGCTTGAGCCTAATCGTGAGTTGTTCAAGAGAGAACCTTTAAGGAGGTGAGTTTGATTGATTTCATTCTGGGTTTGAATTGCGTTTTGGT